CTCCCAAAGTTGCGCTAGGTCTTATTTTCAGGGGATGTCTTATCTTTCCATGCGCTAGGTCTTATTTTCAGAAGATGTCTTATTTTCAGGGAAACACGGTAGGCACCTGCAGGACTCGCCTTCCTTCCCCAGAAGAGAACTCACTCTGGTCTTGGCAAGACCTTGATGGCCCCCACCTGGAATGCTGGAATGCTCACCTCCACCAGGCTCCCATATGTGCCTTCCTGTCAAGCCTGGTCACCTGCACTCAGACAGCTTGGCCTGGCTCTTGCTGTCAGAGTGCAGGTGATCAGGCTGGACAGGAAGGCGCGTGTGGAAGCCTGGTGGTGAAGATGAGGCCAGCGTGCCTGCAAGCATTCCAGGTGGGAGTCATTTTGGAGGGTTTGAAGCTGAATGAATGGACAAGTCACGCTGCAGAAACAGGAGCTCAAAGAGGCACTGTCGTGAGTTCTAGAAGAACATCTGCAGAGATGACATGGTTGTCTTGATGTGGAAGAATCAGGGAGCATAGCACAATTTTCCCTTCTATGTTTTCTAAGGTTAAGCATATTTTTTCAACACAAAACGGGAATGCTACAGACTAGATAGTGAGAGAGGGCCCAAGGGCACGGTAGGTGGGAGTTTAAAGTTTCCCCCTACTTTCTCAATGGCGGGAAGCAAGTGGCTTTTCTAGAAGGTGGGTTCCTGGTCATTCATGAGGGTGAGTTCCTGTGGGAGGCCTCGGAGGAAGTCCAGGTGGAAGTATGAGTCTGAGAGTAAAGGCCTGGGCCACGTCCATTCCAGGCTGCACCTGCTAACATCTGATGTTTACTGGGCAATTGCTTCCGTGTCTAAGAAGCATGCTATGTGGCAAAGGCTCTCAGGGGTAAGCGAAACCTCGAAGGAAGGTGCTTCTCAGGAAGCAAGGCAGCCCAGCCCCAAACCTGCCAGGACCACATTCCAGGGATCCCTGGGCCCAGCCCTGCTCTGCGTGTCTAATATTTCCTGGCATTTTGGGCAACTTGGGCCAAATTCTCGGAGTGACTCTCTGGGCAGGGCCTAAGCACTGGGGTAGAGATGCAGGTTCTGGCTCTCTCTGTGGAAGACAGAAGGAGCCAGATTATTCTCAGGGCTGAACAGGGGATGACTAAGCTTGAGGCATGCTTTACATCCTGTGAGTTTCGGCTCTTTTCTCCTGAGCCAGCCTGCCTTTGACCTTTCCAGCTCTGTCTCAGGAGCCATTCTGCTCCCCTCGGAGATCAAAAGCTTTCTGGCCTCCAGGTCTCATCTGGGCAGCTCTCTCACCCTGTCACACCCTTTCTACCTCCTCCAGCAATCCTGCCAGCATCTCTCTGTCTTCCAGAACTCCCTGCGAGTGTCCACTTCCTTCTAACCTGCATGCCTCCAACCTGACCCGAGTGCCTGTGACTCTTATTAGGATGTCCTTTCTTGTACTTGCAGGATCCCGGCTGTGGAGCAGTGCCTACAGACAGTGGGGGGTGAGGGGATGGGGGTACCTGGCACAGGCTGATCCTCCCCCAGTTAGCCACTGCTCACTCACTCAAGCGGCATTTCCTCCCATAAGCTCCCCTGACCCAGGCCAAGCCAGGCTGCACTGATAAATATTCTCAGGACTTCGCCCTCTCTCCTTCTAGCATCAAACCTCATCGCACATTTATTATGTGAATGTATGGCTGATACCTGTCTCCATCAACGAATGATGAGCTTCAAAGATGCAGGGATCGCATGCACCCTGCTCCTATGCTCTCCCTGTTGCCTGGCTCTCACTGAGCTGGTACCGATGGGGACTGAGGACAGGGGCCTCTACCAGGGCTGCATCTTCAGTGCTCCCAACAGGTGCTCATAAATGGGGGCCTCTTCTTCTCCCAACATCAACGTAGACTGACTGGCCAAGGCTTCACTGCTCAGCATTTGCAGAGATGTGGAAAGTGCCAGGATAGGCCCAGCCCCGGTGTCTACTGACTCTGCATGTGCTGTTCCTTTTAGATGAAACTCACTCATCTCAGGGAACCTGGGCCTGCAGCCCCTCCCCCTCTGCCTTTGTCCCTGAAACACCCAGACTAGGCCAGCATACACAAAGCTTGGAGATGACTCGCCTCAGGTGGTGGGGGGTGCCTAGCCTCTCTGGCAACTAGGAAGCACAAACCAAGAGGAGGTTGGGAACAAAAGAAAAAGACCACATGCCGTGGCTCACTGTCACCAGAGGCAGCAGGGTCTAGGTGCCCCATTGGTCCATCAAGGGACTGCTCTCTGAGGAGCAATCAGCACTTCTGGTTTGAAGGGTGTGCATTTTGTGCAGTAGAGTCAGAGGCGGTGGGAACGGCAGCCTTCTGAAGTCAAGAGGTCCTATTGCCCTCCCTGTGGTCTGGCACGTCCCCTCCCTGCTCTGGGTGACACCTAGGAGAAAGGCTCTGTGGGATTAAATGGGGTCATGTGGACCAAGTGCCCATGGTGGTGCTGGGCACTTAGAGCTACAGCCAAGGCAGCTGTGCCTGTCGTTAATGCACCTGTCCAGCAGGCGCCCTCGTTGCTTAATGTCTTGGATGGAGATTCAGGGCTGTGGTGACTGAAACAAATAAAATCCCTTGGCGTAAATGCTGGCCCACAGTAGCTCTGTGAGCTTGGCCTTCATCCAGCTTCCCCAACCATAAACAGGGAGGATGACCTCTAACCTTCTGTTCCCTGTCAGCATCAGAGCCTTGCGGGCCGGGCAGGGATGCCTCAGAGAACAAGCCCAGTGCCGTGCTTGAGATGACCAGGAAGGCTGGATTTGGGCGTCTGCCAATGGTCTGCATGGAGCATGGCATTTGATTGGCATTGTCCATTTAGCATGGCCTTCTGTGCTTGTAGCTTTGGAGGCAGGCACAGCATCACTCAGGTTCAAGGCTGAGCTCTACCGCCACCAACTCTGTGCCCTTGGGCAGCCTATTAACCTTCTTGAGCCCCATTACCTGTGGGTCAAAGGGGAATCATTCCTCTGGCCTCAAAAGCAAATTATCTGCCGATTCCTGGCATTTCCTGTGCCATGGATCTTTCTCAGAGCAGGTCCCTCTGCCCCATCCCCTCCCACTCATACACAAGTGGGAGGTGACCTTGTCAGCCTTCGAGCTGGCACAGCAGTGTAACTTTTACTTTCTACTTTGTAGAAACCCACCTCAGGCCATATTATTATAAGTCCTCACCCAAGGACATGTTTTTATTGATTTTTAGAGAGAAAGGGAGAGAGAGAAACATTGACCAGTTGCCTCCTCTACCCACAGCAACTGGGGATCAAACCCAAAACCTTTTAGAGTACAGGACGGCACTCCGACCAACAGAGCCACCAGCCAGGGCAGGCCATGTTATTATTTTGACAGAAGTCCCAGATCCACACTCATACCCACTATGCTGTTAGAAGGACTGAGAATGCTGCAATGACTTATTATTGGCTGGGGCTGGTTTTTCATATTCTGTTGGAAACTGGGGTGTGGTCCTGGACTTCTTGTAAATATGAACCCCCAGCCCTGACTATCTCACAGCCCTTGTAAGCTCCATCAAGACAGGGAGAGGGCATAAGGGGCCCCCCAAGACAGGGAGAGGGTAGGGCAATGGCCTTGGCACAATGGTCCCTGGGTCTCAGACCATCAAAACCATCAGCCCCAAGGAAACTCACAGAGGCACAGTAGGATTTTTCTCATCTTAATGCCTGGTCCCTGCCAAAAAGGGGTCAGAATGATAGCTCCTGGGCAAGGAACTTGCTTCTTTCAGAGGGACGGGGAAGGACAGAGCTGTGTAGAAGGAAAGAGTGATGGGTCCACTGGAGAGAGGAGGGCTGGCTGGCTGCCCTGCCCTGAAGCCATAGACTGCTGGGAGCCTGAGGGGGGGGGGGATACCCGGGGAATAGTGCCTAGATTAAAATAAACAGGCAGCCACTCAGTGTGATACTTGATAAAAAAAAAAGTTAAAAAAAAAAAAAACCACAAAACTGGCGGGGGGTGGGAGCTCAGCTGGGTGGAGCTTTTTCTCCAGATACAACATGGCAAGGTTGTGGTTTTACAGGAATCAACCAATGAATGGAGCGCGAGTATGAATGGGTGAGACAACACATCTCTCTATCTCCCTCTAAAATCAGTAATTTTTTTTAAAAGAAAGAGATTGTAGTGCGGGGGTGGGGTGGTGGTGGTGAGTGGAGACAAAAACAAGCGCCACAGTTAACAGGCAGGCAAAGGGCTGGAGGAGGAGGCGCCAGCTGCCCCTCGGGGCCAAGGGGATAACTCTGCTCCAGGGTTCACCATGTCGCTTGGGTTCAGCGCAGATCAGCCCCAGCACCGGCAGCAGCGGCAGCCCTGCTGCGGGCTGGATGGCTGAGAGTCACCAGCTCTGAAGGCTCGCGGGTTCCAGCGCAGCAGAAAGAAGGGGGAAGCGGGGGTGGGGAAGGTGGGGGTGGGGGGATTGGCCAGAGATGGTCTTGGCTTCGCTCTCGCAGACCCCGGGAGCAGGACTAGGAACTTGCCCGTGGTGAGCCGGACTGGACGTCGCGCACATGAATGCACCCCGCAGAGAGATGCCCGACTTAAGAGTGAAAGCAATGACATGTGGTGGGGCGCCAGGGTGAGGAGTTTGGGGAGGTAGTGATTGATGGTTGTCATTCCTAAGGGTGATCACCTGCTCGGAGTGCACAACCTAAGTGGCTTATTCTTGTTCCCTGTGGCCCTGGAGCTGTGTCCAATAGCCAGGCTCCCGCCCTGGCTCCCCGCGCCTCTGGCCGCCCCCTGGGTGGGTCAGGGCGACGCCAGCAGCTCCCTCCCCACCCCGCGCCCGGCCCCCGGGGCGCGCCCAGCGGGAAGGCGGGCGGGGCGGGCGGGGCGTGCAGCGGCCCGGGCTCCTCCCTCCTCGGCCCAGCGCCCCCGTTCTTAATCCGCGCGCGCGAGGACCCCGTCATTGGCCTCCACCGAGCCACCCGGCGGTCATCGCGGAGCAGAGCCGCGCGTCCCATCCCGAGGCCGACGCAGCCCGCAGGCATGGCCCCCGCAGCGGCGTCGGGGGGCAGCTCCCTGCCCAGCGGCCTCGCGGTCTTCACCACCTTCCCCGACCTGCTCTTCATCCTCGAGTTTGTAAGTGGCTCGCGTACCCGCGCTGGGGAGTGATTCGCAAGCTCCCCAGGGTGAGGAGGGTCTCCCGACCCCTGACCCCTCTGCCCTTTCAGTCCTTTGACCCTTTCTAGTCCAAGGACAATAGGAAACATAGACTTAAGAGGGAAATCCAAGTGGTCAACTCGGGTCAGAGGTTGGAGGTGGGCCAGGTCCCTCCGTTGCGCACCTGTTGCAAAGCTTCGCAAGGGAAAGCGATGTCCACTTGGAGGTGCCTAGCTCTTTCCAGGGTTAGGATTTGTTTTTTAAAGTCTGCAAAAGAAGCCTGAGTTCACCAGCCAAAGTTTGGAGATGAGGCTGGTGTCGTAGAAGGAGCAAAAACAGGCTGTGGTTTGCTCCACTAGTGATTTTTGTCGTGTGTGTGTGTGTGTGTGTGTATGTGTGTGTGTGTGTGTGTGTGTTGGAGGCGGGGGGAGTGCAGGCAGAGCGTTCCCGCGGCTGGGCTGACCTTGAGCTGCCAAGGCCTCTGCACCTGCGCGAGGTCTCTCCATGCTCCGGAGCACGCAGCCCTCCCCCCCCTCCCCGTGGCTGCAGGAAGGGAGAGTGCTCCCCAGGTGCCACGGCTCTTACCTGGAGGGGGGCGAGCTGTGTTTATTTTGTGGATTTGGACGTGAAGGTTTTGGAGCCTCCTTTCCTGTACCCCCTGCCTGGAGAGCTGGTAGGAAAAGAAAATGGCCAAACCTGACTGTTAAAAAAAATGGGACCCCAGTTTCTTACTGCCTGATGGGGGCTGAAGGGTGATCCCCAAAGGAAGCAGGTTCTGTAATCCATGGAGGGTTTGGGGGGAGGACTAAGGGGCCCCACGTTGCTTTGTAGAACTGGATCACTGAATTCACGTGAGTTGAATTGATCCCAAACCTGGGCATATCCAGAGCGACTTCAGATCCTGGGGCTAGCCAGAATCAAGGGAAGGACCCCTAGAAGAAGCCCTATGGGGACATCACTAAGCCCAACCGCCAGATGTAGACAGGGACCCTCCCTGTACCCGGCAGAGTGGGGAGGGGCTGTGCCACTGGCACATTCATTCCCCAAAAGGCTCATTCCCCTGCGTCTGCCCGAGGCTGGGTTACTGGTGAAAATGCACCTGAGGAATGGCACTTCCTGTAGAGGCTACTGGACTGTTCTTACAAAGGCAGGTCTCTTTCAAGACCGACAGAGAAGATGGCTGATGGCCGGGTGTGGTGGGGCAGAGACATTCTTAAACAACGAAAGCTCTCCCTAGTGTCTCTACATTGCTCTAGTGGGTGGCTCACTCTGTGTAGCTGTCTGGTTGGGGGAGGGGGACGTTATAACAAGAACCAGGAGTGAGTGTTATCTGGGCTCCATGTGGAGGGTTCTGGGGGGCCCTCCTCCTGCCTTCGCAAGAGCCAGCTCAGGTGGCAGCAGGCTGCGGCAGGTTAGGGTCTGGCCTCGCCGTGCCCTCTGCTTCCTCTGGTGCGGCAGCTTGGGGGAAGGAATGCCCCTGCCCCATGCCCTCGCGGTCTTCACCACCTTCCCTGAGGTAGGAACAGCCCGCAGAGCCATCTTCAAAGGAGGGGACAGGAGGACCCACACCGCCACCCACCAAGTGAAAGGGGAGAACAGGGGTGTGGGAAATACAACCAGAGCCAGGGATTAGTGGAAACATACTCCTCCAGGTGGTGGCCTGGGATGGTGGGGGCTTCTAGGAGAAATAATTCTCCCTGCCAGAGCACTTCCTTCTCACCTGTCTTGTAAGTTGTTTTTTCTCTTCCACTTCAGTCCTGCTCCCTCCACTCTTTTCCTGAGAGGCCCTGGGTGCAGGTTGTCTTCCCTCTCTTCCTCTCTAGGTTGGGGGTGGGCTCGGAGAGCAGAAAGAAGGCAGACACAGCCCTGCGAGTTCGCCCTGCAGGATTGTAAATGCAGAGCTGCTTGTGCCTCCATGTGCCAGGAAAGTAGGATTAAAGGGCCTAGACAGTGCTCCGACCCTGTGAGGGGTTTTAAAATTACAGACGCTCACAACTCAACAACAAAAAGATAAGCAACCCAATTAAAAAACGGGCAAAAGACTTGAGCAGACATTTCTCCAAAGAAGATACGCACATGGCATGTAGCCAATAAGCACATAAGGTTGTCACTCAGGGAAACAATATCAAAGACCACAGGGAGGTGCCACTGCACACAAAATTAGGATATTTTAAAAAATGGAGAGTGACAAGTACTGGCCGGGTTGTGGAGAAAATGGGATTCTCATGCATTGATGGTGGGGATGGAAAATGGTTCATCTGCTATGTGAAACTGGTGATTCCTCAGAAAAAAAAAAAAATGCCCGGGTTTATAACCAAAAGAATGGACAGCACGGACCTGACTAGATACATGGGCAAAGGCGTGTTCATCACAACACCATCAGCAATAACCAACCACTAGAAAAAGCCCGCGGTCCATCAATGAACAGGTTGTGATTATCCACACAATGGCATATCTTTCTCAGCCACAGAAAGGAATCCAGCACTAATACATACTGCAAAGTTGAAAACCTGTGCTGGAAATACTGTGCTGAGTAGAGGTCACCTGGTTTTGGTTCCGTTTATATAAAATATCCATAGAAATACAACACGAACTGGGGGCTGCCAGGGGCTGAGAGGAAGTGGAAAGGGGGCTGTGGCATGATGGGTACGGGTTCCTCTTGGGGTGACGGAAATGTTTGGAAATTCAATGGAGATGGTGGTTGCACAACATGGCAAATACATTAAATATCATTGACTTGGTCAGTTTTAAATGGTTAATTTTATGTTGTTTGTTTTTAATTTTGGTTTGTTTTTAATTTCCAATATTACAGGAAAGTATATATATATATAAAACGTTCATAGGCTCTCAGGTCATTATCATTGAACTTGGTCAAATCTGAACTACCCTGCTCCTGCAGCCTGAGGACCACCTCAGGCTACCTGTGCTGAGCTGTACATGCCTTGCTTTCCCTGTCTTCACGGGATGAAAACGGTCTCACACAATGGACATACTTTCTGTAGCATGCTTTCCATGCAGGCTGAGGTTATACATGTGCACACTGGTTTGTTGTGATGTACACACCCCAGAAGCAGACTTACTGGGAGGTGACAGAAGCTTAATGAAGCTCAGGACTCCCACTTGCTCAGCCCCTTCCAAAACCCTGCCCTGTTTCGTATTCTTTTATAAAGAAGGTCCCCGAATGCTATAAGCTTCAGGTTAAACCCGGACCTTCCTGAATCTCACTAGCAGCCTAGGAAAGTCACCATTGTTTCTCATCCTTGCCACACTTGGTAGAGTCAGATGTAATTTTCTGCTCATGCGATGGGTGTGAAATGTTTTTGTTAAATCTATAGTTCAGCGAGTTGTTGATTATTCACTCTTCATGTTCCCATGCTTGACCTCCCAGTAGCCTGGGAGGTGCAGATGTCAAACTTTGGCCTCCAGGAGTCACCAGGGTAGAGCTCACTCCCCTCCCAGGGTAGGAAAACTGCTGGGGGAGCTGGGAAAGGAGGCGACTCAGGGTGGGGCCTGGCAGCCTTCCCCTGGTGCAGCACCCCTACCCCAGAGCTTCTGATCTCTGACCCCTGCATAGGAAGTGAGCACCTCCAGAGCTACACAGGCCACGCTGCTGTTGCAGGCAGTGGAGCTCAAGTGTACCTCCCTATGGACCGAGATGAAATGTTGATTGTCTCCCCATTCCCAGCAACTCACCCCAGGGTTCTTCCTGTCCCTTCCTCCCCACCCACACCCCTCTGCCACCATAGGGGCTTTTTCTATGGAATCCACAGTCTTGGTTTCCTTCTCCTCTTTTAAGTCACAGGATTATGACATTCAAGCCACCATTCACAGAACTGGATGCTCACATGGGATGTTTTTAGTCTCAGTTCTAGCCAGAGAGCTAAGGGGAAGCCTCTTACAAGGTGCCCTGAGAGACACCTCTCCAACACACACACACACACACACACACACACACACACACACACACACTTCCAAACTGTGAAAAGAAAATGCCTGAAAATGGGGTATGAAATTACTAACTCCCAGCCTCCTCCCAGTCTGCATGAGAGCTTTGTGCTAGGGCGCCACCCACCTCTCTGGCAGCATCCCCTCCTTGAAGGTGGTGAGAGGCAGTGCTTTGTAGGGTGCACTTGGGTGGGGGCTTAGCAGAAGGATGGGGCATCTGGGATTGGTTTACAGTGAACTGGACATACTAGTTACTAAAATGACACCGTTTATGTGACTCAACATGACTCGGGACCTCTTACTATTTGATTGTGACTAGGCAAGTTCTGAGACCTGCCCTAGATCTCCACCTGCCAGGATTGGGCACTGGGTTTCTGGGGGGCACAATGATACAGCCATTTTCTAGAGGTTGGTCCACATCCTGGCTACACTGAGCAGGCAGCATCTGAGGAGGAATACAGAGTCACAGAATCCCAGTTTTGTGGACCTGAAAGGAAACTGAAGCCCAGAGAGAGGAGGCAGCTGCCCCATAACTTGGTCTCCAGAGTGGCACTTCCTGCAGTGACAGCAAATCACATCCGGGTTTCTGCATTTCCTTGGATGCCCACGATGCACTTTTGCCTACAGAACGAGGGTCCATGACTAGGTGGCCCTGCCCCACCCCACCCCGGGCAGCCCTGGGCAATGCCTGGCTCCCTTCTCCCACCCTGAGAATGAAGGGACATCTCAGAGCCATTGGAGAGCTCACAACCCCCTGGCCTGCTTATCAAAAACACACTGGAGGTTTTGAAACACTAAGTCCAGGGCAGGTCCAAGAATCTGCATCTGAGTCCTGGCTGGTGTGCTCAATGGTTAGAGGGTCAGCCGGAGTACTGAAAAACTGCTGATTGGATTTCTGGTCAGCGCACATGCCTGGGTTTCAGCTCAACCCTGAAGGGGTTGGTGCAGGAAGCAGCCAATCTAGGTTATGCTCTCACAGCCATATATTTTTCTCTCTCCCTCTCCCTTCCTCTCACTCTAGAAATCAATAAAAA